CAATGAACTGCTTGCTGAGCAAGCATGAAGTCCTGTGTTCAGATCCTCAGCACCCACATAAAAGTCCACCAATAGCACATGTCTGTAACCCTGGTACTGAGGGGGAAGAGGGATGGCAGGTGGATTCCTGAAGCACACTGGCCAGCCAGTCTAGTCAATTGGTAGGCTCCAAGTTAAGTGGGAGTCCCTGTCTCAAAAAATAAGGTAAAGAGCAATGGAGAAAGGCACCCATCATCAGCCTCAGCCCCTTACACACACATACAGAAAATACATACACACCTCTAGGAATGTGCATACATCTACAAGAATATGTATGCACTCTGTGATGCTAGTGCTGATTGTTCACCTGACAACATCTAGAATTACCCGAGAGATGGGCCTCTGGACACCTGTAAGGGATTGTCTTGGTTACACTAGTTGAGATAGGAAGGCCCACCTGCTGTAACGGCACCATTCCCTGCCCAGAACCTGGTCTGTGGAAGTGGAGAGAGAAAGCTGAATACCATGCATGGATTCATTACTCTCTGTTCCTGATTAAGGAGGTGATGGGACCACCCATGTCCAGCTCTTGCTGCTTTGACGTACCCTCCATGGTGAACTGTACTTTGAATTATAAGCTAAAGTAAATCCTCTCTTAAGTTCATTTCTTAGGATAGTGTATCATAGCAGCAGTTAAATAAATTGGCACACACACACACCGTTTGAATAGAAATTTTAAAAATATATTGAAAATTTCTGTACAGCATACTAGAAACAAAGTTAACAAAATTAAATAGAAAAAAATGTGGTGGCATAGGCCTTCAATCCCAGGTACTCATGGCAGATCTCTTGCATTTGAGGCCAATGTAGTTTACATAGGGAGTTCTAGGCCAGTCAGCACTCGCTACATAGTGAAACTTTGTCTCAAAAGTACAACAAACAGAATACAATAATATACAAAGAGCTCATATGAGTGAAAAAAGTAAACATGGCAATAGAAAAATAAAGATATGAGTTAGCAAGTCACAAAATGAGAAATAAATATTGATAATGAATAAACAAATGTTCTTCTCTGTCCAATTAGAAAATACCTCTGGAAGATTGGTAAAAACCTGATTTTAGTGAAAGGATGGGGCTGTTCTAGAACTTGCCCTGTAGACCAGGCTGACCTTGAACTCACAGAGATCTGCCTGCCTCTGCCTCCTGAATGCTAGGATTAAAGGCGTGAGCCACCACTTACCTTGTTGATCCACTTTTTAAGGCACAGTTTGTAATTAGTGTTTGCCCAGTAAATATTCCTTAAATGTGGTGCCCTTGAGGTGGTTAAAGGAGCAAATAAAGGAAATAGATATTTGAACAAATTAGTGTATCCAAAAATAAAAATATTCATCCTTTGAACCACAAATTTTACTTCCAGAATTTTGTTATAAGATTGTAATTAGCCAGGTAATAATAGCACACACTTTTAATTCCAGCACTCAGGAGGTAGAGGCAGGCAGAACTCTGTGAGTTCATGGCCAGCATGGTCTCCCGGGCCAGTTCCAGGACAGCCAGGGCTACACAGACAAACCTTGTATTGAAAAAAACGACAGGACTGGAGAGATGGCTCAGAGGTTTAGAGCACTGACTGCTCTTCCAGAGGTCCTGAGTTCAATCCCAGCAACCACATGGTGGCTCACAACCATCTACAATTCAATCTGGTGCCCTCTTCTCACATGTAGGCATAACACTGCATATCTAATAAATAAATCTTAAAAAAAGAAAAAAAAACGACAAAATAAGATTATAATTAAAAGCCGGGCGTTGGTGATGCACATCTTTAATCCCCGCACTTGGAAGGCAGGAGATCAAGGCCAACCTAGTCTACAGAGCAAGTGTCAGGACAGGTTCCAAACAATACAGATAAACCCTGTCTTGAAAAACCAAAAAAAAAAATTGTAATTAAACAAATGTGTGTTTGTTCAAAGATGTTATATTAGGTGGAACAATTTAAGTGTCCATCAATAAATGGATGGATCTTTTAAATGGAGCATATATAAATACAAAGAAATAATATTCAGCCTTTAAGAAGAAAGAAATTCTATCATCTGGGAAAATACAAATGAAACTTGGGATGTTATGCTAAGTAAAATAAGCCAATCACAAATACTGTGTGATCCCACTTACATGGAGTATATAAAATGGACAAAGTCATAGAAAAGAGGAGAATGGTGTTTACCAAGGGACTGGGAGGTAGGGAGAAATAGGGAGTTACTAATTTATATGCATGAAGTTTCAGTAAAATAAATAAACTCAGGAAGTGCTCTATCTTGTGCCTCTACTCAGTTCTAATGCATTATCATCAACTTAATGCATTTAAATCTTTGAGAATATAGAATTTACGTATTTTTACCATAACTCTTTCCTTTAGATTTATTTATTTATTTTTATTGTGTATGCATGACTGTTTGCCTGTATGAATGTATGTGTACAATGTGTATGCCTGGTGCCCTTTGAGGACAGAAGAGGGCATAGATCATCTAGAATTGGAGATACAGAGAGTTGTAAGCTGCAGTATAGGTGGGGGAGATCAAACAAGTCCTTCAAGAAAGGCAGGCACTCTTATCTACTGAGATATCTCTCCAGCTCCATTCTTACAATAATGAATTTTAAGGATGGTATTAGGCATGGTAGTGTATGTTTGTAATCTCACCTTTTGGGAGGTGAACATGGGAGGATTAGGAGTTCAGGTCATCTTTGTCTACATATCAATTTTAGTCCAACTGTAGCTATATAAAAATCTGTCTAAAAGGAAAAAGTATGACATTTGCTGGGTATGGTAGCACATATCCATAATCCAGCACTTTAGAGGCTAAGCCAGAACGATACTGCAATCAAGGCCAGTGTGGGAAACAGTTCAGACCCAGTCCCCTAAATGGAAATAAGCACAGAAACTATTTGCAGAACTGTCTATAACAGTAGTTCTCAACCTTCCTAATGCTTTGGTCCTTTAATATAGTTTCTTATGTTGTGCTGACCCCCCCACCATAAAATTATTTTGTTGCCACTTTATAACTGTAGTTTTGCAACTACTGTTGTGAATCATAATGTAAATATCTGATATGCAGGATATCTGACATGTGACCCCAAAGAGGGCATTACCCATAGTTTGAGAACAACAGGCCTATAATAACAAAAAAAGCATTAGACATAAACATTCATAATTACAAGACTAGTTAAAACAACAGACAGAAGAATGGTCCATCTAAAGTTCATGTGCTCATATAACAGAAAATCTCTTCAATTTTTTTCTGGTTTTGTGCACTTCTCTATTACCTAAATTTCTTTAAATAAGCATTTTTCTTTTCTTTCTTCTTCTTCTTCTTCTTCTTCTTCTTCTTCTTCTTCTTCTTATTATTATTATTATTATTATTATTATTATTATTATTTGTGGCACTGAGGCACCCACATAGTTTCTTGCATGCTGAGTGGATGCTCTATACTCCTGGTCCTTCTAGAATAGCATTTTTTGGAATTTAAATGTGTGTGAATACTTAGTTACTTGGCCAAGCACCAAGCACTTCAATCTACAGGCATGGTGTCTTTGGAACAGATGATTATGAAAATTAATGGTGCTGTAGAGTTCAGAAACTGAAGCGTTGTCAAAAACTAAGATGAATTACAAAAGATTCTTGGAAATGTGTGACTTGTAGTGCATGATGGCTTTGAAAAGAGATGAGCGTTGTGTATGTGTGCATGTACTCACACACATATCCTACACATGTACATGGTGTGCTTGCTCCGTATGTACTTTCACTTAGGTAATCAAACAAGCTGTACATATGCTTTATCACCTCCCCCAAGGTAAACCACTTTTCCCTCTTAGGAGACTAGGCTCAACCTATCTGTAAAGGGTTTCAATGTCTGGCCGGCTCCATCTGTCCACTTGCCTTGGTAATAGGTTATTTTGAGCAAAGGTGCAAAACAGGAAGCTATGGCTGGCATGAGCCCAGGAAGTCATAAATGAGGAAAGGGAATGAGACGCTTCAGCACCACGGACACCGTCAACTCTGCCCAAAGTTCTTTTGGTGGGGGGGAGAATAGCCCGCGGAATGGCCCTCGGGTCCACTCCCCCGCCCCAGTGTGAGACTGTCCTGGGCCCCCCTAATCCTCACTGGGATGGGAAGTTGTTCCAGCTCCTAGTGGAGGCGGGTGACAGCCTGGGCAGTGACGTGGATCTGCGTAGCGCCCTCAGCTGCCCCAGTTTGAGTGTCCTTCCTGTCAGTTCTTGCGACCCCTTTCCTCCTCTAATGAGCCAAATGGACGCATACTGCTTAAAATTCTAACCCCAGAACCAATTCCGTCAAGGAAATTCGCATTTTCTTCTCTGTAACTGGATGAGGTGGATCTGACTTGCCCGAGCCTCCACCTCCACACTCGGCCAAGGTCGGGGCCCTTCTTCCTCCCCATCCTCTCTCTGAGGCAGGATTTCTACAACCACGAAAACCTCAGCCCTTCTATACTAGAGTTCAAGACTCGTGGGCACAGGACAGGAAAGTGATGACAAATCCAAAATCTCAACCAGACTCCTAAAACCACCCAGCAATCTTTGAAAGTTGCATTTGCAATCGTTTCTATGACGCCACAAACACTCGCCGAGATTGTGTGGGCTCCGGGGGAGCAGAGGAGGGACAACACCCCTGACCTTCATCATGCAGACTGGGGAAGGGCCCACTCTAGCAGCGGTGTCAGGACCCGGCGTGAGGCCGCAGGCTAATGCTGACTTTATCAAGCCGTTGTTCCGGTTCTCCAGGGCAGCCTCGGGGGAAAAGTGGGCACTGGGTGGCCTTTCGGACGTCCCGCAGAGACGCGCGCCCCACGGAGGTCTGCCAAGTAGGCGGGGCCAGTCTACCTTTCCCCAAGTGAGGCTCTCTACCCGTGGGGAGTGGGGCTCGCCCTCTCCCTCGTCCCCCGGGACCAGCCCGCAAGCAGGCAGAGTCCTGCACCGCCCGCTGCTGCCCACCCGCCGCCTGGCCGGTTACCTGGAAGTCGCTGCAAGGCGGATGTGCTCAGGGCTCTCGCGGACTCAGGTGGAGCGGCGCTCCGGTTCTGGCCTCCCTAGCAGCTGAGGTCACCGCACGCTTGGCGGGGACCACTGCAGCCTGGACTGCCAGGGGCCACCAGAAAAGAGAGGGGCGCCAGACGCGGGCACTGCGCCTGCGCTCTTTGCTGCCCCAACCCCCACCGCGGCCGCTGCAGGAGTGAAAACCTGCAGGAGACCACCAGGATGTTTGGCTAGACCCAGGGGCTGCCCCCCACCCTCAGGCATGAGCGTTCCAGGCAATGGAAGCTGCCAACGCCCTTGGGGGTGGGCAGAGAGCTGTTAGAAACAATCCACTACCAGCCAGGGCAGCATGGTCCTCTGGGAAATCTCAGAGAGGCAGTCTCCATTGATTTCTATCTGGTTGTAAGAACTAAAAATGATTCCTCGATGTTCAGCATGGTTAAACTTAGGGACAGAGTTTTGGGGCATCCTTGAGTCTTCTTCAAGGTGGGGGTAAGTCTTGACAGTGCAAATGTTTGTATACCCAACCCCCAAGCTAGATGAATACAGTCTTTTAAAAACAGACTAAATCGCCAAGGCAATGAGAGTCCTGAAGACAGGCTGGAAGGCCACGACCTTAGGTCGCACAAGAAAGAACCAGGCTTGAACTATGGTGCTGGCTGTAGAAAAGACAAACTTCTCCTGCCAAATTTTCCTTAGTCCGTTCAGATCCCCTTCCATCATCCTCTGTGAGGCAGACTCACCTTGATGGAGGTAGTCAACTGTTCTCTAGCTTTTGGATAGCATGGGCAAATAAGAGACACACAGGAAACAGAACTGTTCGTTACTGTCTGTTCTTTATCTGAAACTCAGAATCCTCTGATAGAGTTTTGGGTTATACACCTGACAACTGGCTGTCCTCTTCCAAGTTTGGATGGCTCCCAAAGGTTTTCTTTAAGTCTCTCTCTCTCTCTCTCTCTCTCTCTCTCTCTCTCTCTCTCTCTCTCTCTCTCTCTCTCTCACCTTTTAAAACAGCCTCTTTATTCAGGATTTTAGTTCACTGAGGGGTAGTGACAATGTCAGCATTTGGAAGTTGGAAGCAGGAGAATATTGATTTCAAGGCCAGCCTCAGTTATGTAGAAAGATTCTTGTTTCAAAAACTGCAGGGCTGAAAATTTAACTCAGTGACAGAATGCTTGCCTGTAAAAAGCCTTGGGTTTAGTACTAAGTTAGTTAGTTCTAGAAAACAAAATGTCTCCTATAACCATCTTGATGGGTTTCTGGGACTTCAATATCCATTGTGCCAGGTGATCTATTATGGTCTCATAGCCTATAGATGCCAACAATAGTCTGAATGACCCCAAGAATGGAATCTGACCATTTGTTAGCAATGTGTTCCTGAAAGGGCTGAGAACCAGCCAAGTATCAACATGGGAGAATTTGCCTGTTACTTGCAGTAGGGAGATTTCTATATCCTCACAGAGTAGTGCTCCAAGTATCAACATAGGATAATTTGCCTGTTACTTAGAGTAGGGAGATTTCTATACCCTCACAGAGTAGTACTTACACTCTCCCAGATGCAGCAGGCTGCTTCTGAGTGGGTCGGTATTCTCAGGACACTCCTAAATTCCTGGTACACCATCTGATAAAAGTGCTTATGAAGAAGCTGCTGAGTGGAGCAACCACTGATGGACAGTCTCCAGCTGTTTCTGTGGAAAACCAAACAGTGCTTCCCGAGAAGACAAAAGGGGCTTTGGTCATTAAGTTACCGGTAGTACAACATACCAGCTTGTTCTAAATCCAGGATCTGACCATTTATTTCTCAGGTTTGTAAAACAAATCCCTTGTCTGGTTTGATTCTTCCCTACTCGCTTTAAAAAACAAAACAATAAAAAAAACCTCTAAAATAACCCAAGGCAATATCATAGCAAAAGTTACCCAAAGGGACCCCCAAGCATAGTTATTTGAAAATAGAATTAATGCCCAAGTAAACGCTTACTTGTTCTGAATACAAATGAGACCAGAACAAAACAGTCTCCCATCTTTCACCCTTTCTAAGAGGAAAGGTCATTTGCTGTCCAAACAGACATTAATTCGGCTGATCTAGGTAAGGAACAGAGAAACAAAAGGAACCTTGACAGCAGCCTGTGAGGTTTGGCAAAGATTTTGTTTCCCTTTAAAGAAGAAATGGGGAGAGGAAGAGAGAGTGGGAGGGAGGAGGCTGGAACGAGCTGGCTTTTAGAGTGAACTCTTCCTGGGAGTTCTGAGAGTGACACTAGGATGTAGCACAGCTGTCATTTTAAGTGACACTAGATACTGAGAGATAGGAAAAGAGGATTTTTAGACATTTTGCTATGTGTAATGGAAATCTTTTGTACTACACTCCTGAGCTTTTTCCGTGCAACTGTCAAAAATTCATACTAAAACGACTAAGGAAAGGAATGTAGCTGTAATAAGAACTGGGAAGTCTATGGATGGGTACCAACAGAGAGCACTGGACTCAGGACTGTGGACAGTATCACTAAGAAACACTAACTCAGTCAAGCAGCAGTGGCACACGCCTTTAATCCCAGAACTCAGGAAACAGAGGCAGGCAGATCTCTGTGAGTTCGAGGCCAGCCTGGTCTACAAAGTGATTTCCAGGATAGTTAGGACTGTTACACAGAGAAAACAAACAAACAAAAGAAACACTATCTCCTTTCCTATATCTGTCCTTAAGTAGTTCTTTCTTCCCACATCTCCCTCTTTCCTAGTACCTAGTTTCTTTCAGTTGCTGTGATAGAATACCCTGACAGAAGTGTCTTGGAAGAGAGAGAAACAGAGACAGGGATGGGGGGGTAGAAGCAGGTTAGAGTCCATCCTGATCAGGACAAGAGCCTAGAGCAGCTAGCTACATCAGATTCACAGTCGAGCTAGCTTTCTCCATTCTTACATGATCCAGGGCCCAAACCAAGGAATTATGCCACCCATGTCAAGGTTGGATCTTCCCGTGTCAGCTAAGGCAATCAAGACAAATACAATCCAACTTGATCTAGACAATCCCTCATTGAGACACTTTTCTGGGGGTAATTCTAGGTTGTGTCAGGCTTACATAACTAACTACCAAAGTCTGGAGAGATGACTTATCTATTAAAGGCTAGGGCCACAACCAAAAGGATAAAACTTAACTGTCACACCCAGTATTCAACTATGTCATCCAGGACAAACAATGCACTTGTTTTCCAGTAACAACTTGGGGTTGTTTCTCACTGGCATGTTCTGAATCATCATAGTCAACCATATACTTTTGAGGATGAAGTATTTGAGGGGCCATTCCACAAAAAGAAAACTGAGATTCTGTTACCATAAGGAACAACATAGTGATGGGCAACAGAAAAAAGGAAATGCATACTATAGATTCCTGTCAAGGAAATTTGAGATTCATGTCTTATTTATTTGTCTGTTTATAGGCAACCTCGTGTAGCCCAGACTGGTGTGGAATTCTCTGGGAAGCCAAGGATGGCCTCGAATTCTTGATCCTTGTGCCTTCCTTCCCTAGTGCTAGGAACACAGCTGTGCACCACTGCGTGCTATTTATTTGGTGCTTAGACTCAAACCGAGGGCTCCAGGCATTCTCAGCAGCATCCTATCAACAGATCTGTGTCCACAGTCCATTTTTATTTGTTTTTTAATGCCAAACTAGCATTTCCTTTGAAAATGACATGCTGAAAATGTTCCTTTCAAATTTTTACTCTTACTATTTTGTTGTTCGTGTGTGTATACATGTGGAGGTCAGAGGTTAACATCTACGGTGTTCCTCAATAAGTCTTCACCTTATTTTTTGAGGTCTCTCACTGAACCTGGAGCTCACTGATTCTTCTAGACTGACTGGTCAGGAAGCTCTAGAGATGTCCCTGTCTCAGCCTCCTTAGCTCTGGAATTACAAGGACACAAGGACACATTGCCACCATGCCTGGCTTTTTATAGGAGTGTTGGAAATCTGAACTCAGGCCTTCATGCTTGTGTGGCAAGAACTTTACTGAACCAACTCCCTAACCCTGAGATGGTCTTTTAAGAAATATGAAAAAAAGAAAAAAAGCCTGCTGTTTTTATACAAAGAGAAGCCAAAACACATGTTTAATATCTATTTTGATTCACTTTCAGCTCTCAAGTGAGGATGGCACTTTTCTGAGTCTCAAACACAGTTCAGACTCGGGATGTACAGGCCCCCGTTTACTACTGTAGAAATCCTGATTTCCTTCACCAGCATTGCCTTCACTCTGGCAATTACCAAAGTTCAGCAGTTAGGTGTTCTGGGATAACCTGCTAGGAATTGGTTTGCAGAATTGGAAAGCCGAGGCAGGAAGGCCTCAAGTTCTGAACCACTCTTGGCTACACAGTGAGATCCTGTCTCAAGGAAAAGAAAAGAAGAGAGACCTGGTTTGTATACACATGCTGGAAGGCAGACAGATGTGGTCCAGTTCAGAAGCTTTCAGAGTTTATCAGTCTCCACAGCCCGATTCACAACCACACACCTTGAAATAAGGAGACTGATTAATACAAAGTTCATGCCTTAGTCTTCAAATGAGTTGTAAAATGAAGACACCAACAGTACAAATTCCTGTTTTCCACCACTCAATTCTTTCTGTGTTACCACTTACCGCTCTAATCAATACATTTGCTGAAATCACTTTTCACCCTTTCACCACATGTCAGGTTCTTTATTGGAAAGAATATAATAATGGCCTGCAGTGTGCATAGCAACATTTTAGTCAACAAAGGTCTGCAAAGGAAAATATCACCAAATGGCACAATTCAAAGACTATTCCTGAGAAACAAAAGATGCCCACTTCTCTCCCTCCCTCCCTCCCTCCCTCTCCTTCCCTCCCTCCCTCCTTCCCTCCCTCCCTCCCTCCCTCCCTCCTTCCCTCCCTCTCTCCCTCTCTCTCTCTCTCTCTCTCTCTCTCTCTCTCTGTGTGTGTGTGTGTGCACAATCTAGAGGATAACTTCAGGTGTTGCTCCTCAGGACCATACACTTTTTTTCTTCTTTGAGACAGAGTCTCTCATTAGAGTGGACCTCCTGGGCACTGCAGTTACAGGTGTGCACTTCCCACCCCACCACTGTCTTCTTCATGGGTTCTAGGGACCAGGGCAGGTCCACATGCTTCAAGCTTGCACTTTATTCTCCAAGCACCTTCCTCAGCCCTGATTTTGTCATTCCTACTCAAGTAGAACCAGTAGTTCTAAACAGAGTAATCAAGCAAGGAAAAAAAATCTCACTAGGAAAGGTTTGTTTATAGAGAACACACTTTTATATGTATAAGGC